TATATATATATATATATATATATATATATATATATATATATATACACAAACACACGTACAAGAAAAAAGATCTTATAAACGTATTTAAGTAACGTTCGTAAAAATTGATAATAAATACGAGCTACGCATAAATTATAGGCTACAGGTGAGTCAATCGTTTCTCCGAAATCGACTACGCCATGATCAGCTGCGTTCACGTCGATAGAAATATCGCTTTATCTCATGGCAATCTCAACGAACGAGATTATATTACGATGCGATATATGCGCTCCTCCTTCGGATCTCCCTCGATATAAATCGCTCTAACTATGTAATTTTATGTATGTACAATCGCTCGCGCGGAACAAAGATCCGGCGTTAATCCGCGCCTCTTCCTACCGTCGGCATGTAAATTGAATTGAATTTGATTTTAACGCGTGTATTTCCCTTTTCCTCTCTATTCACAGCACTTTTTGTTATTCTCTACGGTTCTTCCTCAAAGGTTACCGTTCGGAAGAAGTTTATATCACAAAGCGGGTATAAGTGTTTAATAATATGTAGTTACGGAGATCATACGCGCTGTTTCTCAAAACGTGGTGCGAACGGTTAACTTTGACGAAGTTTACATTAAACTCGAAAATACCTTCTAAAATATAGTAACGTGTATTACAGTTTCGAGAAATTGACAGTGGTGAGCCAAAGCGGGGAGAGTGTGATTACAGAATTACGTGAAATTAAGACTATGCTTGCGACCTCTCAGAAGCATACGCAAAACTATTTAGTACCCTTAACGTCGAAGCGGAATAGAGAAGTATCTCAATCGATCGGCGAACGTATCCGCGATAAGCAATTGCACCCAAATTGTTTCTAAGACGTTTCTCACGTTGCTTAGTACTCTCAAATCTTTCACGGTGTACATATTGTTTCATCGAAGAAGAAATAAAATCGACGCGCGCAACAAAGATAAGCTTATACTTCCTCTATGCTATAATCTCTCATTTCTCAATATACCATTTCACGATGATGTATTAATTCATATTTAATGTTCTTTAATTTCAGTTAAATTAGGAGTGCCATCACCCCTTATATAGAATTTCACATTCCTGAGTGATTTTATAATAGTTTCATTTTATATCGAAATTGATTCGAGAGGCTTTCAGGTACGAAGCAAACAGGCTCCCCGTACGCGAGCGAGCTCTTTGCGTAAAGCCAGGACTTTTAATCGAGACAAAGCAGTGATATTAATCCCAATTATTCCTTGATATATCGAGTCACAGTTAGCAAATAAAAGTATCATTTTCGTTGCTTGGAAGCATCGTTTGTGTGATGTAGAATATACAGTGATTTTCATGGTCTTTTCTTTCGCGGAAAAAATTACTCTCTACGACTCTATGGAAAGCTTACGAAAAGGAACGGTTGCCTAGAAACCGAAGGAAAAAAGAAATAAAAAGCGGTAAGAGATCACGTGCGGCTTAACGATGCGCACTTGAAACGGTTGCATTTACCTACAGAAAAATAAAAATAAGACAGATCAACGCGTCGTTCAACAATGGAGATTACTTACAAATTCGTCATACTAATCTTCGTCGTTTATCTCACTACGCTAAATTGACTACTGGTTTCGAGAAACCTAATCTCTAGTTATAAAATAAATCGTAGCTCTTACTTTGCACTAATGATATAATATAGATCGTTAGTTCTGATACTTAGTTCATTATCTTTAAATATACATTTGTCTAGTCTTGTATATTTCTTAAGGCAGGAATTTTCATATTTACAATTTCGTCGTTACGTTGGCCTTCTCTTGCAATAGCGCAAGGCTTATTTTATCGCGATTCGAGTCGGACGACAAGAGAAATTTACCTACATTGCACATCCGCCCTATCATTCTATTTCCTCTTACCTTCTCCCTCTTCCTATATATCTGTTCCTTAACGATATACGTAGCAACAGTATAAATCTAAATGTGCAATGAATAATACAATCTCGAGTTGTACATTTGAAACGAGCTACACTTACGCGTTATATATCTACTTATTGACATATATATGATTGCTGTAAAAATTTACGTTCTAGTGATATTATTTCCTAAGAGTAACCAACTCAGCTATTTAAATTTGTGACAAATTATCTTGAGTAATAAATAACAATTATAATATATATATGTACGCACATACGTGTGGTACACAGTACACTGTATATGTAAAGAGAGATGAGAATATAATAGATACAATTAAATTCATTACATTCACAGTTTCTAAAATATCTCAATATCAATACAAACTTTCATTGTCTCTATAGATATCATAATGCATTCCCTTATATTTCAACAAAAAAAGATATATATATATGTGGATATGGCGACCTGTTTAGTCAGGCAAAATCCATCAGCAAATATATCTGAATATATGTGTGTGTATGTTTGTGTGTGTGTGTGTGTGTGTGTGTATATATATATATATATCTAAAATAATTTGTCACAAATTTACATATCACCAATTTGATATATCCATTTCTATAGCTTCTAATATGAAATAAACATTAAACATTTCGATTACGATTCTCCGCCATACCGCTTGATGGTTTCATCTCGACGTCCAGCTCTTGCATGGCGAATGGCGTTTGCCTTGTATCGGGAACTTCCATTTCCATGTGTTTTGAGCGATTTGTCGTCTCCGTTGAATCTTGTGTCTGATTCGACGACCCTGTTTCTTCGAGATTCGTTGACTTTGTAGGTTCTGTAGGCGATGAGATGGAGGATGGCGTTGGAATCTCGGAACTCGGCAGAGTTGCGTCACCATCTCCACCTAAATTCTGATGATGTGGCTTTTCTTCAAACACTACGATATGCGTAATAACATGCGTTACAATTTTACCTCAACAAGTATGATATACGTCTTATAGACGATCATTCAAAGTAATTGTTCGTTACTCACGTTTATCTAGGCTGATAATTGACCCTACAAATTCATTGACAGTGAATGATGGTGGTTGGTCTTCCATTTGTCTTCTCCTTCTCACGAGCCACCAATCGATTAAAAATAACGCCAGGGCTAGAATTTTTATACCAGCACATAGGCCGACGTATCTGCAATCGTATAAAACAAATATTAACGTAAAGATGTAGTAAACGTTATAAAGATACACGAAGGAATAAAATATACCTGTATCTAAATTGTTCGATGTCATAAAGCAAACATCGACCTCCCTTTTCTCCACAAGTGCTCTTCCACAGCAAACACGTGGAGTCGATCAAATTACCAAATAGTATCGGTGCCGGTATATAACCGAACAATCGAAAGATTACAAATTGCATACCCAGAGCAAATGATCTTTCTTCTTCGGAAACGGACCTGCAATGGATGCAACAGTCGCTTTAGTACGTAAAGATGCGCTTACGACAATCGGTAGATACACGACTTACCGTAATACTATCATGAGTAAAGGCATTTGCGTTACAGCGACAATAAATGTCATAAAGAATAAAAGAATTAAAAATGGGAATATAGTTTTACACGGTGAAGTACAAGGACCCGCGGTCGCTACCGGAACGACGGTCACTTCCGCAAATTCCGGAGCAGCTGGTGGTAGCATAGTCAAATTACCATGTATACCTGTGAGAACATGTAATAAAATAACAAATAATGTCGTGTAACGTTCGGGATATCGCATTTTGATATTGGAGCTAAACTTACATGCGCAATTTGTGAAATTTGATTTTGAACTGAAGGCAGTGCAACCTGCGTGACATGGACTAAAATATGTCAGACCGTTGTTGCCGCAAACCGGCTCGACATCCGTCATACGGCATTCACAACCAAAGTTGCATGCGGCAGTGAGATTTACTTGAAAGGGTTCAGGACCCTTTGTACTACTGTTAAAGTACGGTATAGTGGTCCCAGCCATCTTTACATTTTCGCAGCCGAGGAAAAATAGCAGACCGTAACACACCAAGCAAATTATATTCGAGACGAGAACGAATTGTACCGCGCCCTTCGGCCTTAGTTCTAAACGTTTGAGCAAACATCCGCCGGAGAAAATCCCGATACAGGCGCCTGGTATTGCAATCGAGCCGGTGAAGATGCTGGCTTGGCTTTTCCCCAAACTGAACTGCGTTTCCAGATACTTGGGCAGAAACACTACGAAACCAGACACGATCACCAACTCCATGCACGCTCCCAAACATGTCACAACGTAAACTGGATTGCAGACAAGTCTCCACATACTTCGTGGAATATCTGTTGTGAGAAAAATCAGATCTTAGAACAATTTCTCAATTCGTTACATTCCGTTGCATTATTACTGTAGATTTAACGATACTTAATTGAAAAATTAAATATCGTTAGTTAATTCGTTTTAGTTAATTGAAAATGTAGAAACAGCAAAGTGACTTACCTTTTACATCCTTGCCGTAACCACTATCGTCAACATTTTCTTTCTTAATCTCTTTCGGTTGTTCTTTTTCTTTTTGATTCGTCGGTTTATTTTTTTCTATGATTCTTATTTTTTCTTTCTCACGTTGTAGTGTTTTAGGAAAACTGAAAAAAGGAATTGCTACTAAAATAAGGAGCAGACCACAGAGTAAGAATCCACCCCACCACATGCCGACCCATCTGTGGTCTCCGGGATCTGAAAAATTTGTATTATAGGTGAATTCATGTTCAGCATATAAGCTAAGATACAACTAGAGAGATTTTTCTCACCAATACTTATAATCGTTCCAGAAAACGAATCCATATGGAAAGATAAAAGATACGCTCCAAGAAGAAAACCTAAGACTGGGCCAAAGGCCGCCATACTATACATACAACCTGACAAAGAGAAGAAAAATGTTTTTAATGATAAATGATATTTTTAATGATTCTAAAGAATTTTTTGTCTTCTTTCATCTCCTTTTTTTTTAATACTTTTAATAAAAATATTTTTCGATGCATACACAATTCTATATTAAGTATAATTACCAATATATAAAGATGCACTTTCCGGCCTCACATGATCATCTATATAAGTAGTACCAAGAGTAAATAAAGGAGAACCCCCGCATCCTAATAGTAACTGAGCAAGTACGAACAGCATGACGGGTCCAGCTGTAGATGGAGATCCCTGTATGCAATTGTCACCTCTTAAATTATTATGTGGTGCTAAGGGGGGCGAAGATAACCCTGACGAGAGTCGACCTGCAAATAGATTTTTAAATTATATGGTTTTTAACTTAAAAAAATATCGAGATGTTTCTTTAAAAAAATGTCATATAATGCTTTTTTCATAAAATTTTTACATAAATATAATCCTAGATTTCAAAAGATTACAATAGAAACGATTTCAAATATAGAAATGTTTACCCAAACCCATATCTTGTTCACGTAACGATACGCCACGACAGATATTATCCGAATTGGAATGATTCGCTGTTGTCGTCAAGTTGGGTTCCGCTGTGAAATGTGGCACCATAAAGATCATTGATCCCAGTCCCATTATCACTGCACCTTCATCACGAGACATAAAACATGAGTTAGTAAATATTAAGCCGTCCGTGAAAGTCGCGCATTAAACAGAATGAAGATCATTATACCAATCGCTATCCAAACAGGTATGTGTCTGCGACTACCGAGATAACTGACGAAAATGACAGTGATAACATTGCCGATCTCGTAAGAACTCGCAATGAGGCCTGAAAGGCTGGACGGGATCTCAAACCTCTTCTCTATGGTTGTTATCACAGAATTGATGTAACCTGAGCTAAGCGCTTGTTGCAACGTAACAAGGAACGACAGGAGAAATACAAACACCTGAAATCATAACACATGTATCAGTACAAATGAATATCGATTTATAAATCGATGGGTATAACTCTTAATCCCCAAACGTCTTTCAAGTCCTAATCCCTCAATCATACATTCGCGAGGTATACGAAGTTCTACTTCGAGGCAAATTTATTTGCGCAGTACATTAGCAATTTCTGTAGTCTAGCCTCATTCGTATAGTTTTAATAGCACGGATCGTATCCTTTCGAACGATGAGTCATGATGCCGGTTTTATACATCCGCGTGTATTGCGCGAATTGAAACGTAGCACTCACCGCTTAATATGTTAGCAACCTTATAAGATGAAGCCCAGATCGCTCACATTGTAATATATTATCTTTTTCACGGTATATATTATCTTTTGCTGCTTTTAATATTCGAGAATCTCACATTGCTCAATGTAGCAGAAAATTCGCAACAGTAGTCTCACCATTATTTTTTATATCACATACGAATAAATTTAAAAATTTATTAATTAAAAATAATCTATTAAAAAAAATAAAATTATTTATTAAAAATATACTTAACAAACAGAATAGATCTAACACACGTAAATATTTGAGCGACAATAATTAATTTGATTTTAAATGTGCTGAAAGTTACCGAAATGCAAAATATCTCGTAACAAAGACACGATTTTCCCCCGAATGCACACCTCTGTCCGCTCAAATAATATGCAAATTCGCGTTGTATGTACCTTTATTCCGGCAAATCTCTGAATGAAGGCCGGCCTACAACTCAGAATCCCACAGTCCTTGGAGTCCGGATTAAACGGCGGAGTTTGCGCCCTCTCCTTCTCCGCCCTACATTCATTTCAAGGAGATCAAATAATGTAAGAACGAAACGTTTCAAAGTATGAAACCGCAATGAGTAACTACACAACGATAAAGATCGAATCGCGGCCCGGAAAAAAAACAAACGGGAAATCGAACGAAACGCACGACGGAGGAGAAAAAAAGCTTATAATGCACTTCGTGCGATGATGCATCGCACGGATGAGAGATTTCGATCTATTTTGCTTTTTTTCGCGCATAATACGCGGCCACGATTTCTTCGAGCGAGCGTGTCGTGTAGTAAGAACAGGCAACTGTAATAATAACGACAGATAGATAGATGCACGACAGTGAATGATGACGTTGAAATTTTACCTGTCTACCATAGAAGCACTGGGATTCCTGCTGTGACATTTGATGATAAAATCTCTGAAAAATAATAGGAACAAGAAAAACGAAGCATGAATACAATGTGCTGCATGATGCGGCGGCGGTGTGTACAAATATCGTCGGTTGCGACGTTACCAGACAGCGTGGTATGAAACTGTCAGCATTAGAATGCCGTAATTAAAGCAACGTTCTCGTCTAGATTATACAAGAGCACGCTGTGTGTTACGGTTACGCTTTTGGACTTCTTCGCAAGAACCTTTTCGTCATAGCCCTCGTCGACAATCTCTCAGAGGCTTTCTCCGATAAAGCGCGTTGCGAAGTGAAACGGTGGAGCAACGAGGGAATATAAGTTGTGACAATCATGAAAAGTGTGTGATCAGGCTAAATCTACATCACGCACGGGGGCGGAGAAGGAGACAAGAGGAAGGCAAAGGGGGAAATATGTCATGGCCAGTGTGGTCTTACTTTCTACTAAGTATTTGAGCAGTCTTTCGCGGTACCATATTTGCGACTCTGTCGCGTGCGACTTAATAACATTTCAAAGCTCTATCGAAGTGATTATAAAGGTGCACTTTGTACGGCCATGGATCGGAAATGGGATTCAACTCAATCAAAGGTACAACAGATTCAGACGCGTCAAACAGAACGATACTCTTTCTGAATAGAAAAGAAAGAAATTATTCGTGACTAATTACAGCAAAGGTGAAGTCTGGAACGACGTGTTGCGTGCGGTGAAAGGATTTCATTTATGCATTAGCCGTTTAGTCATCGTGCTGAGATACAAGGAGCATCTATTAGCGCTCCGGATCTAAGTACGGAAAGTCAAGGTGTTGCGGACAAAGAGAAGAAAGAACGGTCTCTAGAGCAAACTACAGACGAGGATATACAATCATTTAAACGCTATGACGTGGACGCGAGCGGCTCGACAAGTAGTCATCGCGTTGTCGACGATCTGAGGACGGCGACTTTTTCCCACTCACCTATGATCCACAAGGCCGGAACTTGGATTTCTACTGTGACACCTTATGACGGTATCGTGGGTCAGTCTGCTGCCGCTTGCCTGCAACGGGTCCGCATTATCGTCGGCGCCAGTGCCGGCGCTTTCGGCGTAGAGGCCCGTCATAGCATACATACTCTCATTTCGTCGATGCCCAGCATGGTAATTACTGCCAGACTCGGACCTGTGAGGGACAAAAGGAACGAAACGTATGTGAATGAGTCTCCGAGCTCAAGAACGGTCTAATCGTAATGATTGCACGCAGAAAACAGTATGGTTAGCTCATACATAAATTTTCTACCAACCAGATTCAATAGTAAAATGCTGAACTATGCGATTATGCGATTGCTGCAATCACAGAGCAATTACTGAGTTCTTGACGTTGCAGCAGTAACGATATCTGCTTGCTGCAACCAGAATGTATCCATGGTAAATGTCAGCCCAACCGATTTCCGGTTGCCACAATCGGATCACGCGCAACTACATCGATGTAGTTGATGTACAAAAGTAACTGAGTCATATCAAGCATACATGAACAGAACAATATGGTTTGCCAACACATAAATCTGGCCGTGCTAATCCAGATTCAATAGTAAAATACAGAACAACTAATTACGTGGTTACTGCAACCACAGAGCAATTGCTTGAGTTGTTGGCGTTGCAGCAGTGACGATATCTAGTTGCTCCAACCAGAGTGTATCCATGTAAATATCGGCCCAATCGATTTCTGGTTGTCACAACCAAATCACGTATAACTAACTATATAGTAACTAATTAACTATAGTTGATATACCAAAGTAATTGAATCATATCAACCATACATATTACTATCACACAAAGACAACTAGGGATGCAACTATGCTGCTTGTTACTAAATATTTCTGGTTATGTGCACCATATTTTCCGTGTGTACACTGCGAGAAAAAAATGGTTGATCTAACTAAAATTATAGTGATTTTTTACTTCAACCTATATTTATATATTTTTTGGTTGCTCTAACACGAAAATGATAGTAATAACATGCAGATAAGATTATTATAGTACATTATAGTAGAATTTCATAAAAAAAAAATGATTATTTTATTATAAAGATATAGATATAAGAGAGTTTATATATTTAATAAAAAAAATAATTTTTACTATAATTTATAGTAATTATTTCTCTATGTGATCAATAAATATAGTCACAAATATTTGTAGTACCAAACATTTCTTTCTCAGTGTGTATTAAGCTATCTTAGTAGCTATAAAAAATGACCTCTTGTGACCGAAACCACCGCTGCTCTCGTTCCTCTTGTGGCCACTCTCGGATCGCTTGTGGCCAAAGGCACTGGATATACTCTCGGCACGCTTGTGACCGCCCTCGGTACGCTTGTAACCGACGAAACCACCCCCCGACTCGGTGCGTTTGTGCGCGAACATGCTCGAGCTGGAGCCGTTCCTCTTGTGCCCGCTGGTGGACGCCATTCTTCTGACATCTATCTCTCTTCTCCCTTCGTTCCTTCACGCTGTTCCGAATATTACGAGTGCACCGACGACATTGTTATCTGCAACAGAAATCAATCATTCGTCAGGTAGGGAGAGGGTGGGCCTAGTTTCGTGACACGAAGAGCTTCGACGGCACGATCTGTCGATCGGAGCTCTCCCCTGCCCGCGTTCTCCCCTCTTTCTCTCTCTCTCTCTCTCTCTCTCTCTCTCTCTTTCCCCGTCTCGATTCTGTCTGCCTGATCAGTCGACACGTTTCTGAACGCCGAAGAGACACGTAATAGCGAAGTTGATTCGCAGCAGACTGCGCTTTGTGAAGTTGTACGATCAATTGACATCTCAAGATTCAACGGTTCAACGAACCCTTTCATAAGGTCAGGGCCGTCCGGCAGCGTAAACGGTGCTCGGCACCGACGAACTCTCAGCTATCATCTCCGTAGCGGAGATAACTAGAGAATAACTGTATTAGTCGCGCTACATGCAATACACAGAGAACAAAAGAAGCCTTCGGAAGGTGCCCCGTTTTTTTCGGGTGAATTTCACGTGAAGAAGCTCTATTCTTCTGATCGGTATTAAATTATTGGATCCCTGCATTTGATATGGTACACGTCACTCTTGAATGTTAGCAATTCTTCTGTAACACGAAAATCAAGGAAATAGACGATCCTTGCTCTCAGGAACCACAGAAATGTTCGACGTTCTGGAACACGCATTTTGCGGTTTCCTTCCTTGAGATATCGCGACGTATAAAAGCGATATTGTGCTTTGCACAACGCTGCGACATCGAGAAACGAGTGTGCTGATCGAATAATTCGGCAATCGCGAGTCCGCGATATCGATTGTTTGACGATATAATCGCATTCCTACCGCGTTCGCGAGGCGAGCGAACGAGCGTGCGAACGCCCGCTGCTCTCTTATGTTTTTTTTAGATTATCGATCGCGCGCGTCCTTGATTTCGTCACGATGAAAAATTGAAGGAGGTATGGCCGATGTAATATGGATTGACGACAAATTCAAAGTCAGGGATACTGACGATACAATGATCGCGCGCGATTGTGAGCTCTATGTCGTCTTCGCAGTTGTTTACAGTTGTAGAGACCCGCGCGATCGATCGATGAGGTGACAAGTCGAGCTTTCTCATTCCGCGCTGCATCTCACCGTAACCTGCCAAGAGCGCTCCTCGATCGTTCAGCGAAATAGAAAAAGGAAAAAAACGATACATCGTTGGGAGCATTGACGCGAAACTCGCGATTGGTCGATTGTCACACTCAGAGAAAAGGCGATGAGAACAATACAGGTGACAATTACAGGTGAGAGAGAAGAAATATTTAAAAAATAGTAAATATTTATTTAGTAAATGCTAACAGCATATTTACTTACATCTAAATTCTCTTATCTAAATAAAATAAATAATTGTTTTCGTGCAAAATTAAGGTTTTCTTAAAGTTTTAAGAAAATGTATATTTTCTTTGGGATATATTTTATATTAGTATGAGTAAATATGTATGTGATATTAGAACTCATCTATAAATAAATATTTACTAATTTTTAGATGTTTTTTTCTCTGAGTGTATGCGAGTTTTTTTATGCAGAACAATAATATAATGCAGAACTGTAATGTGTGTATAGTTTTATAAATTATTTTGTAGCTATAGTAATTAAAACTTACAAAATATAGTTTGTTAAACTATATACTTTAATTTTTTATACATATAAAACTTATATAGTAGTGATCTACATATAGTTGTCATTATCGTGTCTTTTTTTCTAAATGTAAGGTAAATTGTCAATTCCCGGACAATTAATCCTGAATATTTTTATTGTTTTGAGCTTTAAATACAAATATTTAAATTTTTAATTTAAAATCTATTCAATATATGAAATATTCATGAAATATTCACGAAATATTCATTCCAGAATGAAAGAGAAAAAATATTTAAGAAATAAAGAAATTTATTCGGTAGGTGCTAAATTCACTCAAAACCAAATAATTTTATTTAAATAGAATAAATAACTGCTTTTATAAAAAAAAATCTTGGTTTTCAAGAAAACCAAGATTTGTACTTTTCTTCATTTAAAAAAAATTGTTCCTGAGTGTAAAAATATGTATATTAGTATATTATTAGTTATATAATAAGTATTATAACAAATATGTTATTAGTATTTATACTAAAAAAGATACTTAAAAATTTATTTATAAATTAAATTGTAAAAATTGTTCCTGAGTGTAAAAATATGTATGTTAATATGAGCAAGTATGTTATTAGTATCCATACTAAGATAATTATATACAGACATAGAAAAGATATTTAAAAATTTATTTGTATTATTATTGTATTTATAAGTTAATGTTTTCTTAAGGTTTCAAGAAAATATGTATTTCTTTTATTTAAAAAATATTTCACACTAATATAAGTAAATATATTTTTAGTAACCAGCGAATAAATATTTTTTACTTTTTTAGATATTCTCTCTCTCTCTCTCTCTCTCTCTCTCTCTCTCTCTCTCTCTCTCTCTCTCTCTCAGCGTACTTTTATCTTAACCACTTCGCTAGCAGAGTAAATCAGCATCAACCGACCCAAAAATGGCAAAATCTAAATGCTGTTTGATTTTTATAAAAGTCAATACTAAAGTACTTTTCGCTGAGTCGCTGAATACGAATTTGAGATCAAAATTTGAAAGTTCAAATTAATGTCAAATTCGAAATCAGAGACCCTAAAAACTCCCGAGTACCGAGTTTCATCCAAATCAAGTCATTTTTCCATTTGGTCCGCCATATTGGATCTGCCATCTTGAATTTGACAAAACTAATCTTAGATTCGAAAAGGTAAGCGGAAAAAATCCATAAAAAAAGAGGGAATAACATTGGCGACGTTCAAACATTCTCTAGGATCTATAAATTCTGGATTCTAGAGATTTTTAAACGTTGCTAACGTTATCTCTTCTCTTTTTATGAATTTTATCCGCTTACCTTCGAAAGCAGCGACCCCAAAAACTCCCAAATACCAGATTTCATCATAATCAAATCACTTTTCACATTTTGATCCGCTATATTGAATCCGCCATTTTAAATTTTCAAATTTAGAGTTTAGATTCAAAATCAGCGACTCCAAAAATCTCTGGGTACTGAGTTTCATGAAAATCTTGCTAACGGGAAAAAATAAAATGATGTGCGCATTAGTGCGTCAATGCCAGCGAAGTGGTTAACACGACTAAAGCATTGAACAAGAAACAGCATCAGCAGACGGCCGTGGTCTCGGGACGTTCAACTTGATCGGGAACTCGAGGCCTCTCATCGCCGAATCGTCCTCTCCGTCGGACAGACGAAGAAAAAGCTGCTGTGCCGTTTTGCATCAGCAACGAGCTATAAACGCGTGTAAACGTTCTCGCGATCGCCGGGACTCACTGAAAACAAAAGTACGACTCTCCTCTGGAAACTCGCGCGAATTACTCCAGAAGGGAAGCAAGCGAATAAAAGAAAAGGGAAAAAAGCGACCGCGCAGTCCTCCCACTTGTGCCGCTTCACTAATACATTATCAGCCAGCTGCAATCTACAAAGGCGATCGCGATACTCGTCAGCATTAAAGCCTCGTTAACAACCGTTCGGCTAATAACGGCGCTGGCGAATACGCCGATAACCGCTCGGTAATCACCGATAACATCCGTATGACGACCGGTGTAGTAATCCGACACACGCGAAACGTAGACGTACTAATGTCGTCGTCGTCGTCGTTATGTCACTCGCGAGTGTTTTACCGGCGGCAGAAGTAGTTCGGCTGGAACCCATTTTGTCATCGATCGGGCGGCCAAATGAGCGTAACGATAATACTTTAATGCGAACGAGCGTATTTCGTGGCCGATTAATCTCCCGGGGTTCTCCAGAAAGGATACTCGGGCTCGCGAGAGCAACTCACCGCGATCGCACTCGGGAATCTCGAATGACGCCCGATAATCGCGAGTTATTCCTCGTCGCGGCCCCGAATGACTCACTACCATCTCGCGAGCTCGATGACGCCGAATTAGCCCGGAACTACCGAATCGCGGACAGAACGATGAACCATAATATGTACCGTTAGGCCGACGATTTTCGACGTGGGTCGTGTTCTGCTTTTTTGTCCCGGCCGATTCATTTCGTCCGTACCAGGAAGAAGAAAAAGGACATATCGGCGGAGGAGTTGAGCGCTTCTCCTCGATTTTCGCCGTGGAAACCTCGTGATTTAAAGCCCTCGTAAATCTCGGTTTATCGCGTGACGACGAAGATCACGTTGAGGTCCCGTCGAAACCGACGAAACGGGGGAGCAACAACAATCGTCGCGATCGAGGCCCCCGTTCGATTGCCCGAAAATAGCTAATAGTAATCGGGCCTCATAATGAATTCTGAAATTAGCGGCTGTCCCGCGGCTCATTTCCGTCAGGGTGCACGGCTGCGGAAATGAATGTGCGGCGCGAGGGGCGCCTCGCTCTACGAAGCGGATCGATCGGAACGGTGAGCTAGCAGCAGGTATGACCAAGTCCCGACCCCATCCCGCCGGTGATACGGCCTAAACCGACGAGAATCCATCTATCCTCGCGCGCAGATCGAACGGTCCCTCGCGTGCTGGAAGGTCTTGGAGTTCCTCGCGATAGCTCGGCCACTAGGTCACCCTTTCACCCTTTCACCCTTGCGCTCGCGCGAGTCCACCTGCACCCGAACAGGCCGCACGATACGCCACTGCGGCGCGATATTTCATCAACTTTCTCGCCCGTTCGTTACCGCTTCTTCCTCGTTTTTAACAGCGCTACATCTTCTAATCAGTGCTTCCTCCCGTCACAGCGCGCGCGCGCGCAGAGAGATTTCAGACATTGAGAGAAAAGATATTCAAGAAATGGAAGATATTTTATTATTCGGTAGGTCGGGCGATACATATGTTGACTCATAATAATTAGGAGATATTCTTTACAAAAGAAATATCGTTTCCTTCAAAAACTTTACGCGGAAAAAAGAATAAGTACCCGTACACACACAACTGAAAGCTAGTGTACTCCAATGAACAATCGTTGTTTCATGTATAAGCATATATAA